ACTCTCCCTTTTGCAACTACAAGGCGATTGCCTTTTTTTTTTTTTTCACCACGAAAGCAGTTTTTCTACTTGATCTTCAATTAAATTACAATTAAAAGTCAGAAACATTGCCGTAGGGATTCCATTACTTTTAAAGTAAGTTTTTCTTGATCTGCTGTTCATGTATCCAACAACTGATTTTCTCCATCCTCTTCTGTTTGATCATTTTTTCATCATACACAAAGGCATGCACTCGAATGTTTTCTTTACTTTTTTATAATTAGATTTTCTATTAAACTAATTAAATTCAATATATACAATCGTAAATAAATTATTTAAGAGACAGTACCTCGACGGAATTTGTCTTGGCTGCTTCTTCCGCCCAGTGCCCTTCAAGTTCGGTTGCACACGTTTCCATGTGCAATGTAAATGTAAACAATAATAATAAAGTATATAATATTGTTATCACTCAGCGAATCAACGCTGTTACATATAGTTTTATCATTACTAAAGTCGTTAATTTTTCAAGAAACAATCGAACGATAAAATTTTTCAATAATTATCAGAAGGCTAGCACGAAAGATTGGAAGAAAGTGGCCAGTCAAGTCCTTTTTCTCCACGTATATTATATACCTATAGTTGTCTACCACAGCTGAAAAAACCTTAACATCTACAATATACATTTCTACGTAACTCTAAATTACACATTGATAATAAAACATTACGTTTATTCGCATAAAAGTTTGTGTGAGTCAACTTAGCGCTGCTTTTGCCAAGAACTTGCAGGCTTGGGCACGGATACATTTTGAATTGTTTTGATAAAAATTTAATGCGCTATTCGGGTTGAAATTTTTTTTTTTTTTTTTTTGTAATAACTACTTTTTGAACACGGTACTTTGAATCTGGCAAAAATAAATTTTTGTTGAATGAAAATCCATGAAATAACTGTGCCCAAGTTTGAGAACTGGCATGTGTTTTTTATGTCTGCCTTACCCAAGTACGTCTACACGTATAAATATATGTATTACGCATAAAATGCATGTCACTTAGCTTCAGTCATTATAGGGCCAACTCGATCGAACAATCCTTTTTTCATCATTATCCCTTTCCCACGGATATACCTACACGATCTCTCGTCAACGTTCAACGTTGTTATGAAAAACTTGAAAAGTAATCACAAAATTTTGTCAGGTATTTTTTTGTTTTGTTTTGTTTTCTTAAGACATTTCTTTAGATTTAATGATTAAAAATTGCTATTCTAAACTATATCCATATAGTTTAACCACAAAAACTTATCCACAATCCTATTTCTTCACCTTCAAATACCAACTTAGACACAACACCATTATTTATTTTATCGAATATAGTAGAGAGACAAAAGTATATGTGTATTTATAAGTGTATACATATATATCTGTCTCTCCTTTTCTCTTTCTATCATTAAACTTGATGAGGCGCCGTTCAAATAACCACGTATACGTGACTAATTTGCCATAACGTAAAAAATTACTTTAGTTTTTTATTTCCCACCCAAAAAAGTAAACCTTGCAAAATTAATGAATATCTTTGCAATATTTATCATTTTATTTTTATTTCAATTCGAGTTTATTTATTAAAAATAAATAAACGTAATTTGTATGGCAAATCAATCACATGTATACATGACTAACTAAACTACGTGTTTTATCTCCATCTTTACACCTTTAGTATCATAAAGCCTTATAAATCTCTTAGAAAAACGTGAATACAAAACTTACTCTTATTTCGATTTCTGTTCTCACGAGCTAAGGTTTAAAATTTTTAATTTGAATAGGCAAGATAAATACTAGCTCGTTAGGAAAGAAATGAGTTTTTTTTTTTTAAACCGTCACGCAAAAAATTATCATTTTAACGTATAAAAAACTGTTTAACCAATCTACGGGTAAGATCAGAAAAAATCTTATTACAACACATCGATCAACACATTTCGTACACTTGTAAAATACGACATTTGAAATAGAAAATCGGAGACTTAATGTTATTTTCTTATATACGTATATATCTATGTATACTCGAAGATAGAAAGGAAACTCGAGCAATGCAACTCTATATACCAGATATATTGAGCTACGCTCGCGCAAAAATCTTAAAAACATGTATACGTTTCTCGCACACATAAGTATGCTCCGCCTGTAGATCCTTAAAATTGCTCTCATCCTTAACTTAACTAACTTTTTAAAATCATTCATATAAATCTGTCAACGCACGCTTTACGTCATTTTCCTTTGTTTTTCATTTCTTCTCCCTATAATATCTCTGGTCGCTACTGTACGCTAAGGTAAAGTAACCTATCAAAACAGTTTTTAACTTTTGTACATTACATGTTTCGAGAAAAAAAAAATTAACGCCGAAATGTACCCATACAGAAATTTTTAATTCAAATAGTACTGGTGTGTCTTTCACTGGAGATGTCTATCTCTGACTAATAATTGAAACTAATAGTGATAACCAACGCTCTTATACAACTACATTTTTTTTTTTTTTTTGATGGCGATTTATTTTTAAAAAGTTTTGACTTTGTAACTATGATCCACACGGTAAAGTTTTCACAGATTAATAAAATAAGTATTTGGTTGAGGTAAAGTGGCTTCATTCAATGGTAAAAACTGTATCAATAATTGCCGAAAAATTAGTGAAAATTTATGTTTCGTTCGATAAAAGCTTTCGTTTGGCACTCTGAGAAATGCAAAACCCTTACTGATTATACTATATAAATGTAGGGTGTAGAGATAAATTTGTGTTTTGTTTTTTTTTTTTTTTTTTTTTTTTTTTAATGTATGTTTCTGACCCTTTTTGCAGAATACATTGCACACTGTCACTTTGAAGCTGCACCATACGTTGTACCTATTTTCAAGTCAAAAGATTCAATTCGTTATCAGTAGCTCGTATGCGTGATCCATTAAAATTAATTTGCTCTCACCCAAGGCTTATTTTCAGAAAACTGCACTTTTATAGATCGAAGCGAAGTGATTACGCGCGCGCGCGTGTGTGCTTATAAATTAAAACATTGGTAAGTCAATGGGTACGCCCTCAACAGCCAAACCGGGGGATTTGGGGTCGTTGTCGGCATTTAGTACGTAAATGTATAAGACGGCCGCTACACAGATGGACAGCAACGTCCAGCATCGCCAAGAGAGACTATTATCCTTTCTCTTCCACTACCTGGTTTTTTTTAGACCAAATCCTTTTTCCCAACCTTCGTTTATCTTTTCCCAATGTTTGCTTCAAGTGTCATTCCAAGTCTCGACAAGCTCGCGTTGCATCTCTTGGGCTTTTCCAATTTTTTTTTTTTTTTTTTTTTAGTATCATTTAATAATTTACAAGTGATGGCGAAAACATCTGACTAGGTCTTCGCGTACTTCTATCTAAAATACCACGGACAACAGTGGTCCGTACTTACAGGCATCGAACTTGAAGTTGCGCAGGAGAAACCGCTCGAGAGGCAGGGGCGAGCTTGGCGAGTGGATACATGTAATACACCGTGGATCGTGTGATGATATAAATATATATATATGTAAATAACTGTGTTTACCGCGGGTCGCAGATCCATAAACAAAACAACATGGCCGCCTAAACGTATTATTTATTTGACTAATAAAATGTAAACAAAAAAGAAAAAAAAACAACGTGATCCACAATCTAAGTAACAAACGATAGTATTCATAGTTTTGTTTTTGTCTAAATTGAAGGAGAATTTTGTCAGCTTGACTCGCACGACTCGATCGCAGTCTCTGAATTTGCAATCCGTCAAAGTTTAATATACAGACATATATTATATATTATTTGTACGTTGGCGACCAGAAAACGCCGCGTGCGTTGCGCGATTTGCTACTCCAAGCCGACGCGGAAATGGGGAGGCCCGTATTGTCAATTTATGTCTCATTTCTTTGGTTTCCAAATACCCACTCAAGACTTGTCGAATACTTTTCGCTATGTTACGTTAATAAATAAATTAATTAAAAAAAAAAAAAAAAGAAAAAAAAACCATCTCCAACAATCGACTGTTGTAAGCTGGAAGACCCTTTGTTGTCGGTCTACCATAAATACAGATGGCGATCAATTTGTTCCTAATAAATGGTAAGAGATAGTATTAAAAAAAATACTACAAGACTAAAAATACATGAGTCGGTCGATCAGAGTTTACATGCAACTTTATTTACCATGCCAGCAGTAATAGTCGAAGCTGCGAGTGATTTTCTAACTCAACGTTCTGGTCATCGTAAATCCATATACACCCAACACATGAACATGCACAGGAAGAGTAGGGCTGAGGCCGAGCAAACAATTAATGCAACGCGGAGGGGGAGAGTTGCGCGCCGAGTCGACTTGGAGGAGCAATTCCGCTGGTAAATACAGCACACATCCGGGTTGTATCGGCGGATTCGTTGGGAGAAAATATTGACACTCGGGTTTTCTCGCGCAATCTCAGATAAAAATGCTTTGCCACTCACGAGTGCGGAATTTCAAAAGTTTATTATGCTCGGAATAAACGTTTTCCTGGATTTTCGGAACGATTTACTGCAAACTGGGTATCTTGCAAATTTTTCTCTAAAGTGTCCACTATCCGAGATACGAATTATTTCAAGTTCGAAGTAGTGCAAAAATTGTCATTCTGACCTCAGTCCTACATTCTTTTTTTTTGTTTTAAATCGTCGGAAAAACCTGAAAAATAATGAATCGGAGGATAATAAACAATTTTTCAACCATGTCAACATGAAAATTTGTTTAAGGAGATGACGTAAAAGAAACAGAGTACGAATATTTTCTCGACTGAATCCGCAGATGCGACCCGGACTACCGGGCGTTTTCCTCCTAAATAATAAAAAAAAAAAAAAAAAAAAAAAAAAAAAAAAGGAAAAGAGAGAAAAAGGTCGATAAGATAAGCGTTTGCGATGATTCGCTTTATTACTTAAAATACAATCCACACACCAGCAGGCCACCTCCGCTCGGGTCTTATCAGCCGGGGNCCTATTGCGAAAAAAAAAAAAAAAAAAAAAAAAAGTAACGTATGTATAGTGATCCCGGCGCGACTGTTTATCGGTGCGGGCTCAACGAATAGGCCGTCTTTAGGCGCTCGAGCCTCAAGTACCGCGACAGCTCTTATTTGTTTAGTTGCCGATCGTAACAGGACACTGACGCACCCAAGCTTGGTCGGGCAAACGCAGCGGCTAGAGCAGACTCGCCCGGAGGAGGGCCAACAGTGGACTGGCCGACAGGACCGTCCGCTCCTTCGGGACGGCGCCCGGGGGTGTCGGGCGCAGCCGTTAGGGCCAGGCGCTGTATAACTGGAAGTGCTCGCGGGTGTAACAGGCCGACAGGGGCTTGACGAAGTGGGCGTCTACGGCGCGGCAGTGCGGGCAGGCGAAGACCCGGCTGTAGTCCGAGTAGAAGTTCAGCCGCTGGTGCGGATAGATCAAGGGCTGCTGGCAGCTGTTGCACTGCAAAAAAACAAAGAAAAATACCAAAAGCGTGCAGGAGCCGTGTCTTTTCCCCTCGGCACTCGTTGCCCGACGCAATAACGGGGAAAGATCCCTCGGCCCGATTTAAGTTTAAGTTGAAATATGAAAATGATTGTTGTTGGGTTTGTGGGTCAATCAAGATAAAACCCATGCACACGTATACGTACGAAGAGGAGAGAATAAAGAGGCGTAATTGTTGTGGTGTATGTATGTATATATAACGAGCGATGGACGGAGGAGAGGTGGGCTGGGCTGGCTCACCTTGAGTCGATCGGTGCAGCAGGGCATGGCGGCGAATATGTCGTAGCTGTACATGGTGCCCAGTACGAGGCTGGAGCCGTCCCAAAGTTGGGTGCAGGAGCGGCAACGGGCCGGGGTGCCGCTGTTACCCTCGAGGCAACTCATGCACACGGCCGACAAGTACTGCGTACGGCCCTCGACCTTCACCTGGATACAACAAAAAAACACCATACGCGCGAGCTGTTAATTTTTTTGGTGTCCCTCTTGTACACACATTGCACCACTCTCTGGAGGGGCTTTGTGAAATAAATTTTACTTGATACGGACGAGGGGGGGGAATTAAGGCAATCGGCTGACCTCGGCGCAGGAGATGGAGTGTTTCCTCGGGGAGAGGAAGAAGGTGCCGTCGACCAGGGGATATCTGTCGAAGACCAGCATCTTCACCTGGCAGAGCACGCACGAGACCTTGGGCCACTGGAGCGCTGCCAGGGTCGACAGGATGAAGCATCGGGTGTCGTCGTTGCCGTGATTGCCCTCGTCCTCCATCTGCAACCCACAAGAGAACAAACGTCAACTCATTACTATGTATACGAACACAATATTGTATTTTATACATATATATTATCTCGTATATTATTACATGCCTCTCGTGTCTGGACCTGCGTACGGAGAAATTCAAAGGAAAACATCCTTTCCTTATCATATATACGTAATAGCAATATTTTCTACTGGGATTGTCAATGCCAGCCAGTTGTGGCCAATAAAAGAGGTGCCTCGACTTAATATACATGCGCACTCGTGTACACGCAAAAGCGCAACTTGCTCGTGCGTAGCAAATATTGACGCGCTCGAGGCCTCGTGGACAAACTTCAAAGTGCAAGGGGCGGGGAGGGGGCGATCGCACTGACGTACGAGCTGAAATTAAACAGCTCGAGGCAGGACAGGAGAGTTTTTTTTTTTTTTTTTTTTTCCGAGAGAAAAAAGAAAATGCGAGGCGCAGTCTCCTTTGCGAATAATGTTACAAAGGACCGAACACGGTATAAACAGTTGAAAAAAATTGATAAATAAAGTCAATTGCAATGAAAAAAAAAAAAAAAAAAGAAACCAACAACAATCGTACACTATGTCTGTATAGTATGCACACAGAAGTGCGCGTTGCTCAACCCGGACCTCGACAGCGGCAACCCCCTAAAGCGCGTGCAAAGTAGAGGCTTGCCATTACGAGTGACAGTACAGAAAGTAATACAGGCGGGGAGTGACGAGGGGGATGATTTCCCTTTGTCCGGGACAAAGAAGGGACGGAGAACTGCTGGGAAAAAGGACACGCGTCGGCCGGGACTCGGCATCGTATCAGTATAGTACTGGGTCAACGTCGAGGCACACCCTATACCCTCCCTCCGATCAGCTTCTTTGTCTTTCTCCTTTGCTGCGCTTTTCCTATATATGCCTGCATCCCTTATGTTGTTCCTGTTCCTACTTATCTCTCTTTCCGTGTCCTTTGTTCGCGCGATGGTAAAAAAAAAAAAAAAAAAAAAAACCAGTACCGCGCTAATTCATACGATAAACACGCATACGCGATAGAAGAAGAAGCTCGTCGTAAGCACGACATACGAAGAAAAAATATAACCCGTTTACTCGATACTCGTGTATTTTTCACTCCGCATCCTCGCCTTTCTTGATCCCCCCCTTTTTTTTGGTCTCATCACGGTGTAACCCCGAACTTTCTTGGGTTTCTTTGTTCACATCACAGGCATAAGAAATGTATACCTATAATATACTCTCTTCATCTTTCTAAGCTTTCCATGTCGCTTCCTCTCGATTATTTTTTCCCACCTCACTGCAAGACGGTATGTACACTTTAGGAGAGTGCAGTCCCCTCAAGTCACACAAATATTCCAGGATTGACTGTAGGTTTACGATTTTTCCGACTCACTTTATGCTGCGACATTTTCAGCTCATTGGAAAAAAAGAGGGCTCGAAGCAACAATGGTAACATTTCAGCTTAATTAAATCTAACCGCCACCTAACTGGAGGAAACCACCCGCGCTGCTGACGCTAGACGAGACGGGAGGTTTGTAGCAACGACTCTCGTGACACGCCGTTCTGTCCGTCAACCCATCACGTTATCTCGAGCTAACACGTGCATTAAATGATACACATGCCTGCGTGGAGGAGCCGTAAGTTACTTTGCTATCGAGTGCCACCAACGGGAAAATGAGTGTCCGTATGTTATATTATATGTGCATGTACGAAATTGAACTACCTCTCTATTGGTGTACCAAACGTGTTGCGATACTTTTTGCACAAACCCTCGGGCATTATTTTGTCAGTAACGAGTCGCGGCAATTGTTCTCTCCTCAATATACCCATTATTTTCCAAAGCTCTCGGTCGCCCCAGTGTGGCCATCACCGCGTTGTTTCCCCGAGTTGGCGAGACCCCAGCCGCGGAAGAGCTGAAAACGAGCGGAGGAGAAAAGAGGTGAGATTTCCATCGCAACCCCTTCAGGTCCCCGACTCCACGGTAATTAACGTCATTTGCATACACAACGGGAACGACTCCGGAGGGGCTGGCGATTTACATATATATACGAACGAGAGACTCGATCCTCGAGATCTGTGGGAAAATATAAAAAAAAAAGAGAGAGAGAGGGACGGGCAAAGGGAATGTATATTATATGTGGAAGAAAGGATGAGGCTTCCGCTAAATATTTCCGTGCCGAACTCCCTTCGATTGCACCAGTTCTACGTATACTCTGTCCACGTGTTATCAAACAAAACATCAAGTGTATACAACGAACGAATGCAACGCGTGTCGCAGGGGCGATACGAGGAGCACACATATACCCAAAAATTGGCAAAAAAAAGAAGAAGGAACACGCGTTGCCGGAAACCAGATAAGACGTACGGCGGCCCTGGCTCGCGCTAGCTGTATGTATATATACTTTTATGTAATATCTGGCCGGGGTATCTCTCTCCGCTGCGCGCGGGGCGGGCTATTATTTATTGCCACGGAGGGAAGCCCGAAATTTCGGCCGCGGAAGCGAGAAACTTGATGCACCTTTCGCACGCGAATCCGTTGGTTGAGCGCAATCAAGGGGTGGGAGCTATACATCGCGCGGATGCATTCATAATCGAAACTTGTAAAATAACGAGAGTAAGTAAAGTATTGGTCCTTCTGTCCGAGTACTCTTATATTGTGCAACTTCCATCAATCACCGTAAATGTATAGGGAGGACCCGCGATCTCGATGGGCGAGCAACGCGTTGCAAATACACATCATGTACATGTACACCCATGACAGGTAACAAACCCGGCGACGGCGCACCCGCGTCACGGTCACGGCCAACATTGTTACACTCGACACAGGTATATGTAAAAAAAAAAAAAAAAGCGAGTTCTCCGGCGCCTGTCTCGCCATTGTTGCACGAGCAAAAAAGCGGACGTGCACTTCCTGTTCCCTCTGCCCCTGCCGTTGTATCGTGTTGTATGTACGTGTAAGCGGTGGGCGAAAATTTTCGGATTCGCGAGCGCGTCGCGTGCTCTCGGGACATAACAATACATTCTCTCCTCCGCCGCTCTCATTTCGCGCGAATGGCACAATGCGTCACCGGGGCATGAAACACCTAGCGCCCGGGGGCACAATGACGCCCTTCTTCTCCGCGTCGCCGCTCCTGTTTTGTCATTGCTGCGCACACGGGGTTATAAAATATCGGTGATGGAGCCAATTCCATTGTTCCTTCCTCCCTTCGCGTTGGCCCATTCGTCCCTTCCTCGTGGGTTTACTTATGCTCTATACGAATACGTAAGGAAATCGCGAGCCGCCCACCTCTACCGATAACGATTCGGCGATGAGTTTGTGCCCTACAGATACAAAAATCATCATCTCGTGTCTCTGTACTTTTAATTTCACGTGGGTACTTTTCGGTACACGGATGGAAAAAAAAAAAAAAAAAANAAAAAAAAAAAAAAAAAAAAAAAAAAAAAAAAAAAAAAAAAAAAAAAAAAAGAGTCGTGAAAAAACTACAGTTTGTTTATGATCCAACCAAGGGAGGGAGATAATAGCAAAGGACGAGCGCAGCTGCGTGGACGGGACTTGAAGTTGCGCCAAGTGGAATGAAAATAACCCCGGAGACACGCGTTTGCCGAATAGTTGCAGAGGCTATGTATACGGAATTTCAAGCTCGCCGTCGTAGGTATATATACACCCAAGTTACAAAACACGCGGCTGTAACGTTTGTGTACTATGTGCACATCTGGTTAGCAGCTCTCGATCGCGTGAAAAAAAAAAAAAAAAAAAATGTAATGTATATTCTCACATCGAAGAACCATCGAGAGAGGCGCAAATGCATACAGGAAACGGCGTGGAGCGTGAAACGAGAGCCACAACGAAGCGTCTCTGCGACTATGCGTGTACATCCACATTGGAAATATTTATAGGTAGTGCGCGTTGGGCGTCGATGACATTTCGCGAGCTCGTCGCGATGAAGTACGCTCGTCAACGACACTAGTAAACGTTATATATACGAGAACGGGACGAGCAAACGGGATTATATGTTACATACATGTGTACGTGGGGCACACGTGTACCTGTATACATGTTACATAAAAATGTTGGGTGATCGCGAGATGAAACAGATGTCTCTACTAAAATTTTTAATTTTTTCAACGGCTCCAGTAAAGCGTTGCAAATGATATCTTTTAAATGGTTTTCCTATACCTCGGGGCGTTTTCCCTGTCATTTTGACGTTTGATGTGCCCTCGGTAAGTAGTAAAAAAAAAAAAATAGTATTCGGTGCACCAGCACCATATCCAAAACCGGGACTTAATGGCACCGGTTGCGATTGCACTACCGAAACGAAAACAACCACTTCTTTTTGTTTTTTTCTTGTTTTGAGCATTCGAATTATCTTTCCAGCACCGCAGCAGCGCTGTACACGAAGTAGGAAGGTTGGACGCAAAATCGTTTGTTCACCTCTCGCCAACTGTCTAGGCGTAGGAAGGAGGTACTATATATCTATGCCTGCACACACACACACATATATATATATATCAGCTTATCGCTCGTATAACATGCAGCATAGTACGAAGTTGCACTGCCAAGTGTACAACCTATACTACCAAGCAGCTAAAGCGATTGTGCGCGCAACTTCAGCTTCGCTGCAAAGACCGCATAATATTCGAAACGCGCGTGTACTTATATACTTTCGCTCCGAGTTCATTATACACGTTTGTATGTTCCTGTACGGTGACCGATAGGTATATATACGTGTAAATAACACGGCACCCATATACATGACATTCGTAGACGCACAAATTGTCGCGAGAGATAGCAATAAAGTCCCATGTCCTATCTCGCGAGTTGGAACGAAAAATAAAAAGGGGCTTGCATGGGGCGGGGGAGAGGCCGATAGCGCAGATGCGTAAACATCACGGAGACGGAACGGGAGAAGCAGATAGCCGAGCGCGCGAAAAGCAAGCGAAGCGAAGTGAAGCGCGAAAGCAACGGACAATGGTCTCCATTGTATGCATGGGCGCGACAGCTCTCG